TTACCGCTAACAGTTAACCCCAGTGAGACCTTCTGAATACTCTATCCAGGCATTAACCCGAAAAAATCCCAGTCATGTAGACCGTAAAACTGCTACTGTATTTTACAGTTTAGAATCAACGTCCTTCAGTTCTTCATTAGCTGTTGGCGAGCGATCTTCGTCGTTGTACGGCAGGAAAGGCAAATACTTGGCCACTTTGGAGCTACTGATGCGATTGAGACCAAACGGCAGATTATAGATCTTAATAGAAGCTGTTTGAAACTGTTCATCGCTCTCATCTGATAGATGTTTCCTCCAAGCCTTGAGCCCGCGTTCTTCGATGGTACCAGGGATGGTGTTGTCAAGAATTAGTGCAACAATGCAACCCACGGCCATGCTTGTTTTGAACAGGACCGTCAGTATCTGATCGATTTCCAAAATACCTACATAATAAAATAATCTGCTGTTAATTTCTGATAGTAGACTCACACGTACAGAAACGTAATTAAAAGCATCTCTGAAATATTTTTCTGAAAACCGTCACGACAATTATTGCAAAAAACGGTGGAGGTAAAGTCTGCATTTGAGCCAAGCGGCCAACCGGGCCGACATTCTCCACATTCTGTAGCATGAAACGACGAGGAGTAATTCTACTCTCCTCTGGATGGGATGCTAGTCAATCGCCACTTAGCATTGTAAATCATACCTGTGTCAATCGCGTTCGGGTGAGTCTTCATGTAATATGGTAGAGCTAATCCAAACACAATGGAAAATCCAACGATGAACAAGTTTCTGGAGGAATTCATGTCAGCAAACTGGATATTAGAGATTCCAACAGCGGCGATCATTCCAAACATGACCATTAAAACTCCGCCAACAATAGGCTGTGGGATGCTGACGAATACCGCGCAAATTTTACCGACAACACCAACAACCATCATTGCAAGAGCTCCAAACTGGACGACGCGAAGACTGCCAACCTAACAAACCAAAAAACGCCTTCAATTTAGGTTGGTTTAACTGCACTGATGAACTGTTTCTCGATGGGCGTTAGGTCGGTATCTGCCGTGCGACCAAATTGTTGGATGAGTTGAGATAATGTTGTTCGGTATAGAGGTCGGAGGGGCATGCTCCACGGAACATGTACATTTTCATAACCTCAGAAACGCTATCAATGCCGCTCCCTTCGCATGGCTGCACCAATTTTTGAAGCAATAATGTTTGGCATGTCCCTCCCGCCCCCCAATCTCTTAGCCCCTCCATTGCTATCCTATCATAAAAAAATGAAGGGTGCTTTGGTTCACCGGTAGATGCATGGACGTACTTGCTGAAATGTCGTTAGGACTTGCTGCTTTGCGTTTTCTTTGGGTGCTCCACTGCCTTTGTTTCGTATCTACCTTACGAACTATGGACTATGGAACTGAGCAGGGTGCTTTCAGCAGTTGTGTTTGGCAAGTCCTTAGAAAAGGTTTTATACAGAATTTCTTAGGAATTTAACATTTAATCGGTAATGGTTTGCTTTCCAGGAAAAAAAAGGCCTTTGACTAAAAGCCGAAAGCCCACGATGTCAGTTTAATTTGAGCACATTTGCTTAGGATGGTTTGCTCTTCCTTCCCGCGTTTTCAGGCTGTGTTTGTTCCTAATATATCGATACTTCCGTACCCGGACTAAGCCAATACTCCACGATTTTTTTTAAAACACCGCACATGATCTTCTTGGAATTGGAACCGTGGTCGACACTCAGACTAGAGAGTCATCCTTAAAGCTACACGAATTTCGCCCGGGTTGGGAGCAGCATGACCTACCTAGGATGAAAAATGGTGTTTATTAGGGCTGTCATTGAGAACTGTTTTGAGACGTTTAGTAGCCGTTGACTTGACCAATGGAATAAGACGATGAAACGACACCAAGCATGCAGTCACTCACAAGTCGGTTCAAAGACGTTTGCCGTTCGTTTGGATGAAATCTAATTTGCTTTCTTGC